TTGCCGTCCACTGCAATCCCTAAGTCAACTTGGCTAGTCCTGTCTTGCACATCTTGCTTGCGTGGTTGATTTTGTTTTTCTCTTGATCAGCTAATGCAGGGCTTCTCATTTATCGCTCTTCCTTTTTTTTTCTCACTCGATTTGGTCCATCATTCCAAATTCTCGAGATCTTTTGGGCTACTGATGAGCTATGTGACCCTGGGCTGGTCATTTAATCTTTCTAAGCCTCTATTTCCTTGGCCTTAACATTTTTATTAAGTGCCCACTATATACCAGGCACTGTGTTAAGTGCTTTACAAGTTATTATATAATTTGATTGATATCCCTGGGAGGTAGGTACCATTGTTACTTCCATTTTACAGATGAGGAAACGGAGACAGAGGTTTAAGTGACTTGTTCAGGGTCAGTTGGCTGGTCTCTGATCTTGGATTTGAACTCAGGTCTTCCCAACTCTAAGCCTAGTGCTATATCCACTTGAAGCCTGTAATGCCTACTTCCTAAAGTTACTCTGAGGAGCAAGTGAGATAATTCAGCCAGTAAGTGTCTAATGTGTGCCAGGAATTGTGCTCGATGCTGGAGATACAAAGAAACGCCAAAGACAATCCCTGTTCTCAAGGAGCTCAGAGTCTAATGGGGGAGATGACAACATGCTTCGGAAACGTTCAAGTGCTATGCCAACATCAGCCATTTGTATCCTTTTGTTGTCTGTTGCATTGGCTCATCCTCCCAGCTTTGTGCCATCAGAAAATGGGACATGTAGGGGCAGCTAGGTAGATACTAGCTGTGTGACCCTGAGCAAGTCACTTGACCCCAATTGCCTAAAACAAACAAAAAAAACTAACAGAAAATGGGACCATTATGCTTCCCATATCTTTATCCAAGTAATTTCCAAAATATTCAATAGGATAGGGCCAACGATAGGGTCCTGTGGCATGCTGCTGTCATGGATTCCGCTGATGCCATATTAATCAGCTGCAAAAACTATTTTATCCATTGTAATTCTTCACTTGGGCAGCTAAGTGGCACAGTGGATAGAATGTTGGGTCTGGAGTTAGGAAGATTCATCCTCCTGAGTTCAAATCTGACCTCATACACTTACTAGCTCTGTGATCCCGGGCAAGTCACTTAACCCTCTTTGCCTCAGTTTCCTCATCTGTAAAATGAGCCGGGAAAGGAAATGGTGAGCCACTCCAGGCTCTCTGCCAAGAAAATCCCACATGAGATCATGAAAAATCCGACACAACTTGACACGTACTCTTTGTTTTCTGTTTTTTTGCTTTTTGGTGAGGCAATTGGGGTTAAGTGACTCACCCAGGGTCACACAGCTAGTGTCAAGTGTCTGAGGCTGGATTTGAACTCAGGTCCTCCTGATTCCAAGGCCGGCGCTCTATCCACTGCGCCACCTAGCTGCCCACCATGTACTCTTTGATCTTGGCCTCCTTCAACCCTGGCCTCAGTGGCCATCTAGACCATCTAGACCATCTAACCTTTTTGTGTGCCCTGGCCTTCTTGGGTGGTCAGTCTGGTGAAGCTTCTGGATTCCTTTTCAGACTCATGTTTTAAAATGCATAGCATAAAATACATAGCATCACAAAAGAAAGCAATTGTATTGAAAGTTATCTAAATATTAAAAAGACAAGTTCATGGTCCTCAAATTAAAGACCCCGATCTAGTTCAATGCTTCATTTTACATATGAGGAAACGGAAGTCCAGAGACGTGAAACCGCTTGCTTAAATCACACAGATAGCAAGTAATGGAGTGGAGATTTGAACCCATTCTCTAACCACTGGACTATGCTGCTTCTTTTGTCATTCCTTTCAATTGTTGCCAAACTGGACACTAACTGTTCTCCATGTAGGCCTACCTTGGGTCCATATTGGATGAATGAAAATGTAAGCTATTGTCACTTTGAACCTGTAATGGTTACCCTCAGTTGTGTGGCTGGTAGGAAATTTTGAGTCCTACAAAAATCATTGCTGCCTCCCCTTGCAAAAGCAAAAAAAATCAGAAACTCTTTCTTGGTTGCTAACATAGATTCTTTGTTCTCTTACCCTTTTACCTTAACAGAGGTGAACCAAATAGGAAGTGTTAAAGAAAAACTATGAACACCTTCTATAAATTTTAGGCACAAGTCTGCCAGAAATGGTGTTGAATTAAATGAGACTGTTTCTGGGAGAGTGAGGGAGAGAGAGAGAGAGAGAGAGAGAGAGAGAGAGAGAGAGAGAGAGGGAGAGAGAGAGGGAGAGAGAGAGAGAGAGAGATCCAAAATGGCATCATTCCCTCCCACTCTTCATGTCTGAGGTTACATTTAGAATATTGAACAAAGTCATAATCTGTTAAGAGAGTTGGGGGGTCATACGTACAAAAATATTTATAGCAGCTCTTTTTGTTGTGGCAAAGAATTGGAAATTGAGAGGATGCCCATCAATTGGGGAAAGGCTGAACAAGTTGTGGTATAGGAATGTAATGGAATACTATCGTGCTATAAGAAATGATGAACAGGCAGATTAAAAAAAAAAAAACCTGGAAAAACTTACATGAACTGATGCTGAGTGAAGTGAGCAGAACCCAGAGAACATTACATAGTAACAACAACATTGTACAATGATCAACTTTGATAGACTTAGCTCTTCTCAGCAATACCATGATCTAAGACAGGGGTGGGGAACCTGTGGCCTCAATGCCACATGGGGCCCTCTAGGTTCTCAAGTGAGGCCCTTTGACTGAATCCAAACTTCACCTAACAAATCCCCTTAAGAAAAAGATTCTGTAAAACTTGGACTCAGTGAAAAGGCCACACTTGAGGTCCTAGAGGACCACATATGGCTTCAAGGTCACAGGTTCTCCATCCCTGAAAGACAATTCCAAAAGAATCCTGATGGAAAATGCTATCCACATCCAGAGAAAGAACTATGTAGTCTGAATAAACATCAGAACATACTATTTTCTCTTTTTTCTCTCTCTCGTGGTTTTTCCCTTTTGTCCTGATTCTTCTTTTACAACATAATTAATGTGGAAATATGTTTAATATGATGGTTAGGGGAAGGGGGAAAATTGACACTCAAAATCTTGTAAAAGTGAATGTTGAAAACTAAAAATAAATTTAAAAAAAAGAAAGAAAAAAAAGATTTTGGGGGTTAACATTCCAAAACAACAGTCATTACTGGGTTTCTTAGTTGACCACTCCCCTCCACTATTCTCTGAGAGTACACCAAGGGACCTCCTTCCTTCTATCCATAGCTAATCTTTTCTGCTGGAAGAAGGGTGGGTCCTAGCAAAGACAGTTAAAAATGGAACATTAGCTCAATCATGCCAGGGGTGGAGAAGGCAAAATCTAAACAAGACAAGAATGATTCTTTTTTTTTTTTGTGGTTACCACCATTATTCCAGGTCTCTAAATAAAAGCTTTTGTCCTCTAGCTAACCTGGAAAAGGTCATTTTTAGATCAGAGAAATATTTTCTTAATATTTTCAGTTTTATTACAAATGAGGTATTTACCTTCAAAATGGCAGATAATCTCAAAATGATCTGAGCATTGGTATATGTTTCCATACATAGAGGGTGTGCTGGATAGAGCAGGGGGCATGGGAAGCAGAAAGATTTGGGTTCGAATTCCACGGACACTTATTAGCTGGAAAAACCTGGAAATACAACACAACAGCTAGCACTTTCCTAAGTCTTTACTGCTTACAAAGCGTTTTACATATTATTTCATCTGACCCTCACAACAACCAGTCAAGAAGTAGGTGCTGTTATTATCCTCATTTTATGGATGAGGAAACTGAGGCAAACAAGATGGTGACTTGCCCAGGGTCACATATCTAGTAAGTGATTGAGGCAGGATTTGAACTCAGGTCTGGGCAGTTGTGTAATATCAACAATACCTGTGCTTAGCCAACTCCCCCTCCCCCCATGAAATAGAACATTTAGGTGTTTTGCAATGGATGTAAATATCCCTTATTACTAATTACCACTTTATATAGAAAAACTTTTGGCTATTCCTCATGGCCCTTCCCAGGTGACTCCCTACTCCATCTATGTAATGTATCTCTTCTCGACAGGGTCCAGCACAAATCTATCTCCACACCCCCCCTCCCTCTTACAGGAAGTAATCCATTCCAACTCAAAGTGGAGCAAAGACAGACCTGTGTTGCAACCCTGTGAGGATTAAATGAGATACTCGTAAGGCGTTTTGGTCAACTCTTCATGACCCTATTTGGGGTTTTCTTGGCAGACCTTATGGAGTGGTTTGCCCTTTCCTTTTCTTTAACTCATTTTACAGAAGAGGAAACTGAGGCAAACAGGGTTAAGAGAATTGCCCCAGACCACACAGCTAGTAAGTGTCTGAGGCCAGATTTAAAGTCAGATTTAGAGTCTTCCTGACTCCAGTCTCAGCACTTTATAAATGCTAGTACAATTAGGAAACTGAGGTCCAGATGTGTTAAGTGATTTGCCCAAGGTCACACAGGTAGTAGGCATCAGAAATGGGATTTGAACCCAGGTCCTCTGACCTTAGAGAGCTTGCTGTCACTATAGTACCATACTTTTTTTAACATAATAGAATGAAATTTCCTTTGACATCTTATTATTTTTTGTCTAATTTTAAAAACATAAGTTTTAGCGGACCAAGAATTTCAAAACAAAATTTCCCAAGGTTCCTAGTAAGGCCCTGAATTGATCCCCCTGGGGTTATTAATATAGAATAGCTTTTTGGTCCAGAGCTTTGTTGTCATCTATGAAACACCCTCCCTGGGGAGGAAATTCCCTCTATCAATTCAGGTTGATACCTGCTCAGCTCTGCTCAGAGAATTGCCTGGGGTGATGCGACATTAAGGCCCAAATCACATGGCCCAGCATAGGCAGTGAGACAGCTAGAATTCCAGGAGAGCCAAGCACAGAATCCCCAACAGGTTTCCCAACCCTGCCCTGGCCCACCTGGTTGGGATCTACTTCCGTGCCCATGGAGTAAACAAGAAAACCTCATGAAAAAAACCACAGGACCATTTAATTTAATTTATTTGAAATGCTTCCAGAAAAGTTTAAGGCCATTACACAAAAAAACATTCTTCTTCATCAGAGCCTTCAATGCCTTTCTTTCCCAGGGCCAAGCAGGTGTGGCCTCTTTTCCCAACACTCCGGCCAGCCCGGGGTCCATGGTCTCCTTAAAGGATGCTTCTCTCCTACCTCTTCCAAACAGCCTCTTTCCTCCTGCCTGCTTTTAGTAGCAGTAGGCTGTTACTCAGCACATCTACTGCTCCCCTTGAGAAACAAACCACTTTTAAATAAACTTGTAATAGAAAAAAAAGTCACCTTGTTTAAAATCTATAAATACAGAAATAGGTTTTACAGGGAAAAATTGAGCACAATAGTTTGTTTCTTTTTAAAATAATAACGTACTTATACCTTGGGTTTTTTTATATTGATTATCTTGTCACACAAATTCCTTTAATGCACATGAGATATGTACAAGGTAAATTGACACATTATATTTATCCCCTTTCTTTTTTGTAAACTTGTAAGACACATAAGATAAAAAAAACCAAAAAAACAACCACCCATTTTTGGCAATAACTTAGCATTATTACTACTAGTGCTGGTGTGGGTATAGTTTTGCACAGTTCAGCCTTAATATTTACACTCTAAGGGAGAATTTCAGTGTATTTAGCGTACTTACTTAAAGCTCACATCCCACCCTGCCCTGCCAATCGATGATGATGATGATGACAAAGATGATGACGATGGGCAAGTGTCTCTGGCCCTTGGGACAGGCCTCCACAGGTTGGTGGGCCATATATGTGAGAGACCTGATTCAAATTCCCTCTAGAATTAACTGAATCAGGACCTGGGAAACACAAAGACTGATTCTGGTCACAGCACAGGGCCAGAGGCCACGACGGAGCGAGCCCTGAGGCAGAGATGAAGGAGGGGGTGGTAGTTTCCCAGATGGAAAATGGATTCATGATTTCAGTTCCAACATTCCCAACTCAAACCCTAAAGGTCAAGGAAGAGTAATTTGCCCTCCCAAGCCTTTCTTCCCTGTCTTGGACTTGTAAACAGAGCCATCACCACTATCCTGAAGGGTTTTTTTTTTCCTTTTTAAATCAGCTTTTCATTCCCACATCTTGGTGTGTCCATCTGGGGGTACAAAAGGACCAAGGACAAGGCCCATTCGAGGTTCACTACATTCACTCATTGGAAAATTCATTGGCCAGGATTCCCAGTGACACAGTTTGGTCATCGCTATGGCCCAAGACCACGCACGGGATTGACCCGAGGTGAATCAGAGTCACTGACTTCCTGGTCCTGCCTTTGTTTCTCAGATGTTATCACGACCTTCCATAAGGGGACTATTGGAGACACCTGGGAAACTCTTTGCCTCCCCTCTCCCTTCCGTGCCTGGCACCCAGAGGAGCTCTCAGGAAACATCAGTCGTTCTGACATTCCTTTTGTCCCAGCTGGACAAGTGAAAGTAACTCATAGACGACACAGACACTCCTGGAAAACAACTTGAAACGATGTTGCCCTGGGGTCCAGCCTGCAGGCCGGCAGCTAAAGGACAAAGACAGGGGGCCTCCGACACCCTGTCATCGAGTTCAAAAGTGCTTCTCCAAAACCGTTCCTCCGTGGAATGCAAATGCTGAAATGCTGTACAGGTGAGCAGACCCGGAAGGACGGAGAGGTTCCTGTCAAACGTTGCTTTCTATCTGTTTGCTGCTGCTGCTGCAAGAGTCTGTCTGTTCCATGCGCTCGCAGTCCAGGCTGACCTCGCTCGTGTCCATGCTACAGTCTGACTCGCTGCCTGACTGGTCCATTTGCTCCGGTTTGGCCTCTCCGCCGAGGGGGGTGGGCAGTGGAGCAGGCTCCTGGGGGCCCTCGGCACACACGGCTGTCTCTTTGGCTTGACGGATGCAATTGAGCCACTGCTGCTTGTTGAAGGTGTCGCTGGCCTGCAGGGAGTGAGACTGGCTCTGGGAGCCATTCCGGAAGCTGACGCGGAAGAAGTTTTTAACTGAAAGGGAAAAACAGCACGTGTCAGCAGCGTCCACAGGTTCTCTGGTCAGTGACAAAAAGCAAATGCCCGTTTCTAAGGCCGAACGTTGGCTCAGAGGCAGAAGGAAGGGGAAAAAGAAAGAGTGGGTCTTTCTATATTCACCTAGGCAAGTCATATAACTTCTCACTTCACTCATCTGCAAAATGGAGCCACTGTCGGAGATTTTGATTTGGACTCTGAACCACAGAATGGCAGAGCTAGAAGGGACCGCACTACCTGGTCCGACCCTCTCACTTTACTAGGGAAGAAAGTGAGGACCAGAGAAGTGACATGATTTGCCGGAGCTCATGCATAGTGCAAGGCCTGGGACTAGAACTCAGGACCCGGGGGATCCTTCCACTAACCCATGATGCCTCTCTCCCTCACAAGGTAACAAAGAAGAACAAACACCCATGATTTCGAACCCTTGAAGGATGAGAAGGACACTTCTAATGAACAATATTTCCTACGGATTGAAATTGGGGCGGGAAATTCAAACCCTCATCCCTGAAAACTCCCTTTAAGTCCCGGCATCATCTCACAGGCAGATGTTGAGCTGCTCTATTAAAGCATGCCATGCCATTCTCCAAGTAATTTCATTAATCCACTTTGTTCTCAGGAACTTTCTGGACCAAACCTTGTGCTTTCATTGGCAATGGGAGCTCCCGGGAAGGAAATTCCCTCTACCAATGCTCACTTCGCAAGGATACCCCTGGACTGTCCACCTGTCATCTTCCAGCCTTGCCACCTGATACAATTCCTCAATTATGTCTTTTACTCCTGGGATTCTCCAGAATTCCTCAGTGATTATATGTTGCAGTCTGCTCACACCCTCCATGTTTCTCTTCTGTCTGATTATTGACTATTGGTGAGAGCAGGGCCTTCATGCAAAGTGTCAGGGAGAAACAGAATCACCTTGCACAAGGGGTGATGAATGCTCATCAGATCTGCAGGAGGAACTAAGCCGGGAGGAATAGCTACCTGGATGGCAGAATTGGGATCTCAAAAGATCATGATAGACTAAGGCACTGGACTGAACCCAAGAAGAACTTCAATAGGGATCAGTATAAACTGTTCCCTTTGGGCTCAAAAAATCAATTTCACAAATACAGAATAAGAGGTGGCATGGTTAGACAATAGTCTTTCTGAAAATCAACTGGGGCTTGCTAGGGGTGGCAAGCTCAGTATATGTCTGCAGGGTGATGAGACAGCCAATAAAAGCTAACACCATCTTGGGCTATGCTAAGAGAGGGACAACTTTTAGGAATAAGGAGGTGAGAGTTCCTCTGTGTTCTGTCCTAGTCAGACCATAGCTGGAATGCTGGGCTCTGTTCTAGGTGTCACAGTTTAATGAGGACATTAACAAGCTGGAGAGTGTTCAGGAAACCAAGATGGTGAATGAAGGGCTTGGAGTGCTTGAGAAACCTGTGAATATTTAACACGGAGGGGAGAAGACTCAGAGGAGTCATGATAGCTGCCTTTTTAAGTACTTGAAGACCAATCCAATGGAAGAAGGGTTGGGCTTATTCTGCTGAGCCCCAGGACAGCCAGAGGTAGAAGCTGCAAAGAAGTAAATTTAGGCTAGATGTCAGAAAAACTTTCTAACAATGAGAGCTGTCCTCAGGTAAAGAGAGTGGCCTCAAGAAGTGGCGGGTCTCCCCATCCTTGGAGGTCTTCACACGGAGCTGGATGGTCATCTGTCAGGGAGGCATGTTACAGATCGGGATTGGATTAATCAACTAATCAATCAATAAACCTTTATTAAGCACCTACTATGTGCTAAGCACTAGACAAACAAAGAAAACCAGTCCGTGCCCTCAAGGAGAGGGCAGCCTAATTAATGAGGGAGTTTAATGAGGTCTCTTCAAGCTCTCAAATTCCACGATTCCGAGGGGGTTTGGTGGAAAGTTCTAGGAAATGATCTACTTCTGTGTCCCCACAGGTCACTGATACAGTCAACGACAGGAAATAATTGGTCATACCTTCTTCTAAAGCAAGCCAGAGTTAATATGACAGAATCTAGGGGTGGGAAGGGGCTCAGTTGATAGAGTGCTGGACTGGGAGTCAGGAACAGCTGAGTTCAATTCCTTCTTCACACATGTTACTGCCTGAACCTTAAAACACCATATCAATGCTAGCTACTACGAGGACCATTAGAAAAAAAAAAACACACAACGAAAACTCCCCCAAACCCAAAACCCAAACCCCAACTCAGGTGTTCATACTTCTCTCGTTGTTGGTGAAGGCCCCTCGGATGGAGCCCCCGAGGCGCACCTCTCCGTCCTGCAGGTCGTCCAGCAGAAGGTCCTTCACGGGGATTGGCTGCCGGTAGAGTTGGTAGCACAGCTGCTCATTGTGGGTGACAGGCCGCGTGATGACAAGAACTTCTTGAAACAGGAAGACGTGTAGCTTCTAAGGAGCAGAAACAGAAGAGAAACTCTCGCTTACTCCATGAATTAAAATAAAGAAGAGTCAAGGGTTCTCTTAGAACTAACAATGCTCAGTAATCCATTCCAAGACCTCTCCTTTGCTTGGCAGCCACTGGCACTTCAATTTCAGTATCTCCAACTGGGGTAACACCATTTCAGGCCCTCCCTCTAAACCAGGGAATCTTCACTTTTTTGTGTGTCCTGGACCCTCTCTGGCAGTCTGGGGAAGTCTATGGATCTTTTCTCAGAGTAGTAATCTTAAATGTATAAAACAAAATACATAGGATTACAGAGAAGACCAGTTACACTGAAATGCAGTTGTTAAAACACGAAAACAAAACTAAAGCCAAGCTCGTGGCCCCCAGGTTAAGATCTTGGGTTTGCCTGTTCTCATTCCCTTTCCCTCTTCTATGGGCGTTGTTTCTGTTCACCCCAATCTTCTGGTATGTTCTCCCCCCTGCTTTGCGTTATTTCTCACAGGACATTCCAGATTTTTGGGTGCTCTTCCATCCGTCCCTCTTCATTTTTGTCATTGGTTTTGAAATTGGATCGGCATCTTTTGCTTTTGCCTCTCCTATACTTCCCAATGCATCCGTCTCCCCTCCCGTGCCATGAGATTATAGGATAAAAGGGGATCTCAAAGACCACGTGGTCTAACCTCCTCCTGGGGAGCCATCCTGTGTAAGGGAGAGGCAACATAGCAAAAAAACAACAAAACCCCCCAAACCCACCCACACACACCTATTTATTATTCTTAAAATTGCTTTCCTATGCCACATCAAGAAGCATGCCTGTACATTGAGATCCAACCCAAGGCCAGTTCAACCACTAAGAAAGAGGGCAGTAGATGGGGCTTTGCAGCTCCCTCACTGTCCTTCCAGTTGGAGGGGCTACCCTGAAGGCACTCTGGGGTTGACATGTTTAATGTGCAATCTTAAGCAACTCAGTGTATCTTTTGCACAAATGATGAGTTTCTAGGACGATTGCCACAGTAACTTTTTTTTTTTTTTACCGATTTTTTTGTTTGTTTTTTTGTGCCTTTTTTTTTGGGTGAGGCAACTGAGGTTAAGTGACTTGCCCAGAATCACACAGAATCATACAGCTAGTGAGTGTTATGTGTCTGAGGCCTGATTTGAACTCGGGTCCTCCTGACTCCGGGGCCAGTGCTTTATCCACTGTACCACCAAGCTGCCCCTTAAGACACCCTGGAAAAGCCTTTCTGCTGCCCTTAGGTGTCTCTACCTATGATAACTACTTACATGCATACAGCACTTTGCACGTTGTCTCACCTATTAGATTTTAAGCTCTTTGAGGACAGGGACCGTCTTTTGCCTCATTAAATTCCTAGTGCTTAGCACAGTGCCTGGCACATAGTAGGTGCTTAACAAATGTTTACTGATGGACTTGTGAGGTAGGGAGTACAAATATTATCCCCCTCCCATTTTGCAGTTGAGAAAACTGAGGCTCTGAGAGGTTGTTTGCTGGTTCTGAAGGCTGATATGAGCCTCGATGTTTTGACTCTAAGCACTAGTGGAAGGGAGGATGGGGTGCCCTGGTGAGTTACCAGCTTGGGGTTCCTAAATTCCTCATCTCTTCTTGTACATGACTGCTTCCCAGATCCCAGACATAAAACACAGAGTGGCCCCACAGACGTCCACTGCCTCAGCCTTCAGCCGTACTCAGGACACTTCACAGAACCGATGGCTGATTTCTGAAGGCCTGGCCCTCAACGCCAACATGAGATGAAGTTTACTGAGGGGAAGCTGGGAGACCCGCCCTCCCATCTCTTCTTACTCCCCAGGCAGGCCCCAAGGTCATCTTTTAGAAACACACCCCTCCCATGTTTGGAAATCCCTGGGGATAGGAGGAAAATGTTCAGAGATTCTCCTCTTGGGTTTCATCCGCTTCAGCTCATGGGGCTCTCTGTCACCACTAGAATAAAGTACACACCGCCTTGCCAGACTGACTACTCATATATACACCCTACATCCCAGGCAATGACTCGATGTTTAATACAACACAGCTGTTCATCTCTAACCTACGTGCCTTTGCACAGACTATACCCCCTGCCTGGGATGCTCTCCCTTGACTTCTTAGACTGCCAGCTCCCAGAAGAGTCCTTTGAAGATTCTGCCCATAGAGGGCGCTCCCTGTATTTCACATGTACTTTGTATATATTTCTTTATGTACACTTGTCTCCTCTGTTAGAATGTAAGCTCCATGAGGGCAGGGACTGTTTCTATTTTTTTTTTATACCTATGTGCCTGACACATAGCAGGCAATTAAAAATGCCCCCAAATGGAATGAACTTTTCCAATGGACCTTGGTCAAATTTGGTCATTATTTTTAAGTTAACAAACAAAACAAAACAAAGCAAAAAACAACTTTTCCCAGAGACTCCACTCAAACCCACGTGTGTCCTCTGTCATTATCTTATAATGCACAGACTGAACACACAATGACTAAAAATGACCCTTGACTCCTCACTGTATCCTTCAATCAGCCTTCCGTGGCAGCTGGGAGAGACGGGCTGAGCTCAGAAAGGCCTGTCTGGGGCAACCTCCAAGCCCTAAGGAATGATCCCTCTTAGAAGTCGGCCTGCTTGGGCCTAAGGCACAATTCCACTTCACCCTCCTCCCCCCTTTGCCTCTGAGACAGTGATGTTGGGGGTATATTAAAAACAAACAAATCTGCCCAGCTCCCCGTCCCCCAGCCTCTTTGTTCTCAGAAATCTCTTTTCCTGCAGTGTAAAATGATTTTTAATCAAAGTAGCATTAAGTAAAATGCTATGTTTTTTAATTCCCTAGGGTCCTCTAGCCTTTAACCTCACTGCTGGCCCTTGGTCACTCTGTCAAAAAAGAAAACAGCCAATCCCTGGGCTGGTCAAACCTGTTTCAGGGCCTCTGGACTTTAAGGACCAGCTTCACACCCATATCTACTGCAAACAGCCTTCCCTGTAACCAGCTGAGGGCTGGCCTGGGAGCCTGGAGACATGGCTCTGAATTCTGAACACTGTTTCTGATACTGACCACCTCCTCTGTGACCACGGGCAAATCACTCAATCTCCCAGAGCCTCAGTTTTCTCATCCAAAAGCTGGGGTGAGACAAATATCCATGACCTGCCTGTCAGGGTGGTCCTAGACAGGTGCTCTGCAGCCTGAGAACACCGTTATTACCGCAGAAAATGCCAGAGAAATAAGGTCATCCAAGGCAAACAGAATCACCCAATCAAAGCTGCCTCGGGGCCTGGAAGGGCCCTGTCCATCTGCTCTTGCAGGACTTCAATGCCATCCCTGCAACTTCCAGGGCCCAAGCCCCCTTCCCTGGCCACTGCCATCTTTCCAAATGAGAAATAAGGGCCCTAAGAGCAGCCAGCATTGATGTGGTGCTTCGGGCTTTGCAAACAGGTAATCCCTTCTGATCCTCACAATGGCCCTGGGAGGGAGGTGCTGTTCATACGGCCATTTTACAGATGAGGAAACTGAGGCCCAGAGAGGAGAAATGCCTCAGCCAGGATCATCTTCGCTTTTGTAGCTGAATCCCCAGTGCTCAGCACAGTGCTGGCACAGAGTAAGTGCTTAATTGCTGAATGGCTAATATGGAAATACGTTTTGCATGACTTCACAAGCACAATCCATATCACACTGCTTGCCTTCTCGAAGGGTGGGGGAGGGCCAGGAGGGGGAGAATCTGGAACTTGAAATTTCAAAAAATGAATGTTAAAGTTTTTTACATGGAATGGGAAATATTTAATAAAATAAATAAAAATATGTTTTAAAAAATGCTTGTTGACTGAGGTTGGAGAAGAAGGAAGGGGGCAGCATCCAGGGAGCCGGACAGCCAGCAGATGTCAACAAGGTGAAACCCCAGAGTGGTCAGCTACTCACCACACCCCTGCTGTTCTTCAGTTCACCATGGCAACACAGTACCCTGGAGCTGTCAATCAAAGAGTCCTTCTGTCCCTCTTCCAGATAGATCAGCCGCTCCTTATAATAGCGGCATTCTGATTCTCCAGTCTTGGTGTTGATCTCCGCCACGATCCCCTGAATTATGTTTATCTGTGGGGAAGCAGAAAGTGGGGGGAAAATGATGAAACATTGTGCCCGTCAGCAACTGGAGTTCTTCTGTGACCTCGGACCATTCAATGAACCCGCCTGCCTCAGTTTCCCCTCCAGTAAAATAGGAATCGCAACAACGTCTACCTAGTATCAAATGAGATAACCTATGTGCTGTGTTTTGAAAACCTTACAGGCTATATAAATGCCAGCTATTATTATTATTATTAGGTTTAGACTCATAAGTCTGAGCTCTACCTGGTAATAAAAGTGAGTTTACAATTTGCAGTTCTCAGAGGAGGACTCTAAAGGGTTAGGGTGCTTAAGAATTCTCCATCCTCCACCATCTCCATGGGCAAGGGGATCTCAGTGGCCATCCTGTCCAATGGGGCCTCCACAGGAATCTCCACACCACCCTCATTGCCGGTCACCAAGCCTTCGCTTGAGGGCATCTAGTGAGGGGAAGCCTCTAGCCCCTCCCAGGGCAGGCCCTCCACTCTCTGCCCAGCTCCATTTATGAGGAGGATGTTTTTCCTCCTATCAAGCCCAAAGGTATCTCTGGACAACTTCCACCCATTGCTTCAGGCCAGAAGAACAAGTGAATCCCTCTTTCATTGGACAGCTCCTTGAATAATTAAGACAGCTCTCATGCCCAGCAGCCTCACCCAAATCCCAGACTTTCTCCAGGTTAAGCACTCCTGGTTCCTTCAAGGAATGCAAATTTAGAGGAGAAAAAGTTGAAGTGGCTTCTCAGGGAAGTCTTTAAGTGACAAGACCCATATATTCACAAGCTGTAAGGGCCCCTGGGCCTTGCCACTGAACCCTTGGGACTCCCGGCCTTTCTGTCCACATCCACCGCTCTTATACACACTGTCTCCCTCAATTAGAGCATGAGGTCCTGGAGAATAAAGACTGCCTACCTTTTTGGACTTGCATTGCTAGCCACAGAGGACTGATTAGCACATACTAAGTGCTTTTTCATTCATTCATTCATTCATTCATTCATTCATTCATTCATATTTTAACAATGAAAACATCAGAGAGAGGCAAAGCCTGAGTTAGAAATGCAAAGGCCTCAAAGCAGATGATGGAGATAATCATGTATATGCACATGCGCACACACACACACACACACACACACACACACACACACAGAGCACACACACACAGCACACACCCATGGACATCCCCGGGGCAGCGGGGCTCCAGAGCCACCATCTGCTGCAGTACTGAGGGCAGCTCCGGTGTATCCTATCAGGCATCTGGTTCATCACATCAAACAGGTAAGACGACACAAGGATGCAAAAGAAGCCACAAACGTGTACATTAAAGACACAGCAGCAGACGGTCTACCACACAGTACTTAATGGATGAGGGAATGATGAATTTAAATTAAATTTGGGTAAAAGCTAGGGGTTCAACCACATTCTCAAGTCAATTGATAAGAAGGCACAAAGGTCTCAGGGAAAGCTGTAAGGGAGAGTGAGCCCAGCCAGGGGACCACCTGAGTTCTGGGGAAAAGAGCAAAGCTTGGCCAGGGGACCCAGGCCCAGGCCCGGGCCCAGGGCCAGATGGGGGGTATTACAGCAAAAATGAAGTTGTGACGAGATCTTACGAAGCATGAATGTGGTCAGGACCTCTCTCTGGGGGAATGTCTGAGCCACTGTTTCCGGAGGCAAGTGAAACCCTCTTTGTGACCACATGAAAGCAGGCTGGGGAAAAATCTCAGCCAGGCCCAACTTCTGCACTCTGGCCAAAGCCGGGTAAAGGCATGCTCTGGAAAGCTGAGGTCCGGCTCCCGCCTCATGACTGAAAACACCTAACCCTTGACCTTTGGAGGCTCCTGAAAGTTGTGGAGGCTTTGGTACGAGCCCACACACAAATGAGAATCTTGTCCTACCACCATGAGACAATGGCATTTAGTGTTCGGATTTCCTGCTGCTGCTCAAAGGCCTGGCTCACATCAACTCAAACGTCCCTGTTTTTGATGTCAGATTAATTTCAATGTGCTCATTCATTATGTTAAAGTGGACACCTGTGCATAAAACAAGTGAGGAAGCTAGCTTCCTCCTGAAACAGTTCACAGACTGGAAAAAAAAGTTTACTAACCATTGCTATAATAATAATAATGATAATCTTACTAATAGTATAGCATTTTAACGTTTATAAAGCACTTTCCACGTTGTCTGATTTGATCCTGACAATAACTCTTGGAGTAGGTGCTATCATTATCTTCACTTTACAACTGAGGAAACTGAGGTTAAGTGACTCACTCAGGGTCCTACAGCTAGTCTGAGGCAAGATTTGATGTCAGGTCTTGATTCCAACGCCAGGGCTCTACCCACTGGTCCACCTAACAAGCTGCACACAATGGGGAACCAGAGGTAGATGCCCCCTCTAAATCATTTTAGGAAAAGATTTCCAACCCCAAATCATGCCTCTTCTACCCTATCTTGCATGGTGGCCATTTCCAGTGACTCACTGTATGTCAACGACATTACGGTGGCCATGCCCGACTCGAAGTAGGTCATGTAGTATGGCGGAAAACCCTGGTAGTCCTTAGAAACTAAGAGGAAGATCGTCGGTATGAGAGATGAAGGAAAACACAGATAAGTCTATGAAGGAGAGGGTAAGGGGAAGGAATGACCACACGGGTGATGACTCAGACATCCCAAAGAATCCACGTGATTACCAACCACGAGGACACAACCAAACGCTACCAAGAGTAGAGCCTAGGCTGTCTAGGACTGCATTAAGAGCCAAGAAGATCCCTTGGGGTTCCCAGCTCTACATGCTGGCCACGTGGAGACTGGCTCCAACCTCAGCCAGTTTTTATCTACAGATGTAGGCAAGCGGTTCCACAGAAAAGAGTCTGGAGGGGCAGCGAGGTGGCACAGCGGATAGAGCTCTGGCTTTGGAGTCAGGAGGATCTGAGTTCAAATCTGGACTCAGACACTTGATACGTACTAGTTGTGTGACCTTGGGCAAGTCACTTAACCCCAATTGCCAAAGCAGGAAAAGGAAAAAAAAGAAAAGAGTTTGGGCCTTGGAGTTGGAGCAGATGGATTTGAAACCTGGTTCCGCCTGTATATACAACTTTGGGCAAATTTTCCCCTCCTCTTGGGCCTTGGTTTTCTCATCTGTAAAATGAGAAGGTTGGGCTAGATGAAAGGGAATGTGAAGTCGTTTCTAGAGAGCTTGGTCTTATGACCTCTCTGGGTCTCAGTTTCCTTATGCATAAATTGAGGGGTTGGAATGGATGAACTTTAAGACTCTTCTGCTCTTAGGTCTCTGATCCTACAATTCAGTATTGACTTTTTTCAGGAAGCTGCTAAAATAGCCAGAGTCAGTTTGATTCCTCATTTATTCTAGTAATAAAAATAGACCTGACTGATAAGCAGATGCTTCCCCAACTCACGCCTCCTTCCTCCGCCTCTGCTTTCTGACTGGGCATCGCTCTGTCCTGATGGCCACTGGCTGAATATCCCTGGGCTGTTCTCTAAGTTTTCTGAGGATTTTTTAAAAAGGTTCTTTTTTTAAATTACGAACTTAACCAGTCAACTTTTCAATAAAAAAATTTCAGTATACAAAAAAGAAAAGAAACATGGATTGTGCCCCAAGCCAGGCCCTCTGGTGGCCTATTCTGTTTTGTTTGGTTTGGTTTTTTTCCACAGCGTATATTGAATTTAACATGATAGTAACAAAAGTGCCCCACTGTTTGTCTGCTTTCCCTTCTGGACTTCCTTTCCTGTTTCCATGAGACTCTCTTCTCTATTTTCTTCTTTTTTTCATCACTGTGACAATCCACCTACTCCCCCGAGGTCTTTTTTTTCCCACCTGCCTGAGTGTAACATTCTCACCTGGCTGGCCTCCTGCTCCAGGGCAAGCCCTGGGCTTTCTCCCTCCTCCCTCCCAACAGGTATGCACCCCTCTAACAGCATTTGGCCAGAGGCCTCTCGAGAAATGCCTTTGATCCACTTCTCTCAATGCCAGGAGCAAGTGAGATTCAAAAAGAGAAGCCGGGACTTTAAGCTAGGCCCTGGGGGGAGAGTGTCAAGGCCCAAAGCTGAGCTGCTCAATCAGATCAAGACCTGGGCCAGCAGCAACAGAGATGATAATAACAGCTAACAATTCTGGGGTGTTTTCAGGTTTATGAAAGGCTTTTCTCATTTGACTTGGGTTCTCACAACAACCCTAGGAGGTAGGTGTTATTATTATCTCCATTTTACAGATGAGGAAACTGAGGCAGACAGAGGTAAAGTGACTTTCCTAGGGTCACCTAGCTAGTAAGTAGTAAGTGTAAGGGTTTCCTAATTGACAGATGAGGAAACTGAGGCTCACTGGGTGTTAGTGGCCACAGCTCAAACCAGCACCTAGCCCTCCTCCCCGCCAGACCAGCACTATTGCCACAATCCCATTCTGCCCACTGAGAAATGATCATGGTGCCTTTTTTTCTCCCCCAGCCCCGACCAAACTTACGGCCTCCTCCAGGTGTTGCTGGTCTGGGTTATCGTTTGGAGTGTGCCTCAGTATTTCTCGCAGAAGCAGTGGGTACTTTACTAGCCGACTTCGGGGGATATCGAGGAAATTCCAGAGGTCCAGCTTCCGACTGAAGGGCGACTCCAAGCAGCGCTGGAGAAAGTCCTGCACGCGGTGGTCCTGCTTCTTGTGGTCCAGCAACGCCTTGGCCGCGACCTGGTTACTGCAGTAGCTGTCGTAGGAGCTGAGGCATGGCAGCTGAGGAGGAGAAGGAGAAACGGGGCTGGAGAAGAGCCTGCCCCTTCACCAGGGCCCATCAGCCATCTTATCCACAGCAATGATTGATGCCCGCAGAATCTGAAAAATGCTCTCCAATTCATTATCTCACTGGAGAGGCACTACCCATTTTAAACATGGGGAAACTGAGGCACAAATAGGGCATGGAGCTCCAAAGTATCAAAGGTGAGATTCCTGACTCCAAGGTTCAACATCCTACCCACTAGGGCACACTGCTTCTCCGGCAATGGAAAGGGATGGTTGTAGAATTCACCATTTGTTGGGAGGTGAGATTCCTGGTCAGATCTGGACAGGCGTCCTTCAACTAAGTGAGTCTGGGATTCTTTGATTATATACCATTTATTTATGGCATACAGTAGGTGCTTAATAAAAGGTTACTGTTTAATGACTTTTTAAAACATCACTTCGTTGATAGCAAGTTTAGTCTGCCCATTATGTTGTGCTATATGCAGCACTCAACAATCATACATTAAGCACCCATCAGGATAAGAGAGACCAGTGCTAAGCACTATGGGAGATAAAAGCTGAGCTAACACCAGTCAATTCCTGGCCCCCATGGTTTGTATTATTTGAACATAGGCTTAAAGGATGAGCTAGAAAAATGTGAATTCTTCATTGTACGTCCGTTTTAAGGTTTTAAGATATCAAAAGTGTATCTGGTTGATTTAGGTCCTCTATTTTAATTGGGTTCTTGCTAATAAATCTTTTTTCTTTTCTTTCTTAAGAAAAATGTTTTTAACATTAATTTTTTAAAAATTGGAGTTCCAAGCTCTCTGCCTGTCTCCCACCCATTGAGAAGATAAGCAAAACAATATCAGTTCTATAAGATGTCAGTTTTACATGTAACGTCATAGCAAACCTTTTTCTAAGGAGCCCACAAAGCAGCCCACACCCACAAAGATCTGGGTTACAGTTTTGCTTTAAAATGAGGAGATTGCTACATTAATAGGCTCATGGGATCCCAGAATTGTGAGGGACCTCAAAGGACAACAATTCATATCTTTGGCCTTTCCATCTACTCTGTGGCTACACCCTCCTACATGCATTTTGTTAAACAGAGTAGGAGCTCTTGGACAGCGGGGACTGCTTCTTTTTCTGTTTTTATCCTCAGTGCTTAGTATAGTATTTGGCATATAGTAAATAAATAAATACTTTAACTAAAATTTAAAAACTTAATAAATGCCTTTTGGTTCACTCATGTCATGGAATATGCTGTCTCATATTATTTATTATCCATCTATAACATATGGGGGGGGGGGTTCAATGAGGTAACTGACATCCATGGATTGTTTCAGATCAAATACTCTCTGAATAATTCCCTTTCCACCATTAGCTATTTGTATTTCCTCAACATGTGTTTGAACAAGTAATTTCTTGAACCCAAGTGTCTGGCTCTGTAGTTATCTTTCTTGCATAGCACTGAAGAGAGCTGCCTCTTAAAAGGTATTGATCTTTCGGCCTCTGTACTTTTTGATGAATTAGCCGTCTTCCCCAGTTTTCTGTCATCCATGTCCTTGCTTAAGCAATCGATACCACCAACAACCTTCCCCTAAGTCACTGATGATGATACGGAACAGAAAAGGCCAAAGCAGAAAGCCCTGGGAGCCTAGAAGTTACTGGGCATCCATGGGATGATGAAATACAAAATTTAGGGCAGAGCTGTCACCAGGGAAAACCCAGATTCAGGAACCCCTTGGAAATGACTGTTAGTATGAAGGTCTGTGACTTATCAAAGGTCTCTGGGCATGTGAATCTCCCTGCCTCCCCATAAAATGCTAACTTCCCTGACATGTCTCAATCAGCTACACTCTAAGTACAAGCTCAAAGATGGCGGCCAAGCAATTGTGGCTGGGGGCAACTTTGGAGAATATATAGCTAAAGGGCTGCAGGATTCTAGAACTGGGAGGGGCCTTTGCAAGGAGATAGTCAAACCCATCTTTGAAAAAGTACCTCTCCTACCACACACCTGAAAAGGGGATGTCCTGGCTCTGTCGGAAGACCTTGAGTGAGGGAAAACCCACTCCCTCTCTCCCGGGGCGGCCCATTCAGCTCTCCTAGTCTGGGCAGCTTCCAGTTGGGTGGAGGTTTTTCCTGACATCAGGCCTGAATAGCCCCTGCTGTTTCCACCTACTTCTCCTAGTCTGAGCCCTCTGGGGTCAAAAAAAGCTTCCAGAGTCCCTCTCCCAGGCGAAAACCTGTCAAATACCCCAAGAGGGCTCTCTCCTGGCTCAGCATTCCCAAGGCCTCCTGTTCATGAACTCAAGGTTCATCACCATCCTGGATGCTCCCCTCTATCCCTGCCACATTTCCTCATCATCCTTTGAACAGCAACTACTAGTCATCATACCAGCACCTGGTCTTTCAAGTGACTGACCATGACAGTCAGGATTTATGACCCTATTTAATAATATTTCACGGTCTGAGAGTACTTTCTTAAGACAAAGCTATAAGATTCAGGAGCATACATGGCTTCTTCAAAAAAAAATTGTAGTTAAAATAAATCAATAGATAAATTCCAGCTGTTGTGAAAACAATGAGTTAATCGACAATTATTTGAATGCCTACTGTATGCCCAGAAGCTGAAAATTTGAACAGATGATTAGATTTTCTGCAAGTAAAAATGTAGGAAATACTCAGTGTGGTCACTGTTTAGATGTGATGCATCTTACTTTCAGAATTTTGTTTTTGTCCTCACATCCCCAGTCCTTGATCACAAAGCTTGGCATACAGTAGGTGATTAATAAATGTCTGATCTGTGAATAAATGCATCCATGTACAGAGACTGTCACTAAAAAGGAAACCCAGTCAACTCACATTAAAACAATCATTTGCTGAGGAAACAAGTGAAACTCTTGACATTTTGTGACCACGGGCTTACACGTGAAGAGAAGTCCAGCTAGTGGTACCAAGGAGGTTGAAACTTTTCTCAGGCACTGCTCCCCCAAAAGTTAGGAGAAAAGCGGTGCTTGTTTAAAAAAAAGAAAGAAAGAAAATCACCCTACTGCTGTTTGCTTACTTATAATTTAGATCAAGGTTAATTAAAATGGGCCTTGGGGCCTGTTTATTTAGTTCCCACTTCCTCTTTTATCAAAGACCTGGAAATGCCCAGTGTTTTCATTATACAGAAACCAATCAGCAGTAACCAGAGGATGTAAACTAACCAGGGACCCCCCTTCCCCATCACTGCTGACTGCCCAATTGTACCATTAATCTCCATTATCCCCGCCAGGCTGCCATGGCAACCCAGGCTGCCTCTAATCCTGTTTTCACACTTGGCAGGTTTTGCTTGTTTCCTGGGCCCACGGAACCTGAGAGGCTGAGTCGACTTCCCCCCTTAGTGGGCCCCACTGCAATGTGTACATCGGGGGTGTCTTTCAGACCTCAGGAAGCTGCCCCCTCTTAGTGGCCAGCACAGGGTCAAGACTCACCCTGAATACACAAGGTGCTCCACTGAGGTTGGGTGCAATGAATCAAAGGGAGGGAAATATGCCCAAATCTTGTGCGTGTGCATGTGTGCGTGTGTGTGTGTGCGTGTGTGCGTGTGTGTGTGTGTGTACGCTCATACACATTTATTACTAGCCAAAGAAATCCTGAGGGATTTTTCAACCTAGATCTACTCAACTTTGGTCTTCTGGAGGGAGACTCTGTTTATTACAGGGTTTCCCCCCTTCCTACTAGATCAAGGATTCTTAACCATTTTTTGTATCACGGATGACACATGAATAATGTTTTTAAATGCATGCCAGAAGATACACGAATTACAAAGGAAGCCAATTACAGTGAGGTATGGCGCTGGAATATTAACAAAGTAAGTTCGCGGACCCCAGTCTGACATTCTGTTTGTACCAGTTGAATTCTGTTGCAACAGCCTTAGTGTGTGGACCCTGGGTACGATCCCAGGGCTTTAATATAAACGGAAGGGCCCTCAGAGGTCGCTTCGTCCACCTCCTTCTTTTTACAGAAGATGCAACGTGGTACCATGTCCCAAGACCTGGATTCCAATCCCCTACCATTGACACTTACCACCATGTGTGGGTTTGGGCCTAAGTCACCTAATCTCCTGGGGCCTCAGTTTGCTCATCTGTAAAATGAGTAAACTAATTGGACTACAGGATCCCTAACATTCCTTCTAGTTCTCAACGTAGGTACACGTGGAATTAAAGATGCTGTCCATTTTCTAACAGAGAGGGGATGGGCTCACATTTATTTTCTTGGATGTGGCCTGGAATTAGTTTTCTTGACTCTGCATATTTGTTACAAGGGTTTTTGCTTTTGTTTTTCCTTTTTTTGGGGTAGGCAGAAAGAGAAAATAGTTATTTGTTAAAGTGAAATATTAACATTGTGTAAATAAAAAGAAATCGTAGCCTGGAGAGAGAAAGAGACGAAGCGGCACATTTGGGAAATGGAACCCGTCTTCCCTTTTGACAGAAGGTACTTATCCCATCAACCTTGGCCAGAGAGACAGAACAATCCTATTTTTTGTGTCTGTGTTTCCTGTCTCTCCTCCAGGTATTAAAATTTCATTAGAAACTAAATTACCCGAGAACTTGTCCTAGAGAACTAATAAATTATTCTGGAACTCTTAGAAGGGTAGGGGCAGACTCAAATTACTTGGAAAGTTGCTTCTTTAGGATACTGTTAACTTCAATGACCTGCTCTCCATCATGAAGGACTTTGAAGCATCTTTGTGGAAGGCTTGCAAGAATTCCCTTGCATCCCCATCCTTAATGTCTTCAAAGTTAAGTAACTCAGCTATTGGAGGTCAAAAGGTCCAGCCAGCATTGGCCACCTCAGAGGGTCATTTGTTTGAGAGGGAAAAGAAAATCACTTTTTCTTTCTTTTTTGAGGGGTTGGGGGAGGGGTAGGAAAGAAATACATCTTTCATGAGTTGAATGGCCTTTGCAAAGTATCCTCATTCAGCATCTCCCTGAGCTGTTTATTTTGTTCCGTTAAGAAGCCAAGGCCTCACACAGATGTGCCCCTGTGTTTACAGTTCTCACCCACGTGAACACATCAGCACATCTTGTCAGCCAAGATGGATGAGGACCATTTCTCATGAGGGACTGCTAACAGGCTTCTCCCAATGGGGGAAGTTCCTGTTTGATGTCTGGACGGGCCAGAGAGCAGCCAAGTGGCACTTTCTGGAGGGAGCCTCTTCCTTCAATGTATCTGCAGTGAAAGTGCTGGGATTCAATGGTACCAAGACCCTCCCCGCCCCAAACTTGTTATTTAGTTTATGTATGGGAAAGGGACTGGACCTAGGATTTTATTGCTTTAGGGAACTCCAGGTGAGAAAACTCTTGGCACTATTGGCACCTCATCTTCAATTTGGAGTCTTAGGGAGTGGCCCAGATCACAGAGAGGTCAAGCAGCTTATTACTTGCCCCGAGGTCACAACGCCAGTATGTGTCAGGGCTGGGACTCAAACCCAGGCCTTCCCAGGTTCAGAGTCAGGTCTTTATCTAAGCTACCATGCTGCCTCATTTATTTTACATCTATTCTGCATTTAATTATTTATGTATGGGTTGGTTCTTCTCAATGAGAATAAGCTTCCTGAGGGCATGGACAGTGTCAGTTTTGTCTCTGTATCCCCTATGCCAAGGATGGTCTCATCAAACAATCAATGGATCCACCAACGAGCAAGTATTAAGTCTTTATTATGTGTCAGACCCTGGGGATTCAAAGACAAAAAAAAGGAAACAGCCCTGTCCTCGAGAAACTTACATTCTAAAGAGGGCAACGCTGAAACTCAGCCAGGGTGTCCCCGAAGTCTTACTGCAGCAGTAAGGTTATACACCCTCTGTCATTACATGCAAAATGAATTCAAGAGAGATGCCAAGTCACTTGGGGGTGAGGCATGAGTTTGAGTGGACCAGGGAAGGCCTCACGGAAAAGGTGGTAAGTCCTGAAGGAACCCGGGATCCCTACAGGCGGAGGCGAGGAAGAGGTGGGTTCCTGGCCTGGGGGACTGGGATGAAGGCACGGAGACTGGAAATAGAGCAGAGCGCTTTGTTTAAGAAGGAACGAGACAGACAGCTAAGAGGTGCTCCATACTTTGAAAAGAACCGAATTTCCTTAAAAGCTGAACTGTGGGGCCCTCAGAGCCAGTTATCAAGATGACGTCGGAGTCAATTCATTGAGTGTTTACAAAAAGAAAGCTTAGGCTGGAGGACACAAGAGCTATCTTTTGGGATGTGAGAAGCCGTCAATTAAAAGAGGGATCGGCCAGGCGAGTTCCTGTGTGTTACCATACTTTCAGGTGTGGCTTTGGACCAGGTGGCTGTCGAAGCCTCCTCCACCTTCTTAAATGTTGTGAAGTGGCTGGCCAGGGCCTAACCTGCCTCTGCCCTGAGTTCGGATCCTACCGTGTGGCTTTGAGGTGTGGGGGAGTCCTTCGTGTAGGAGAAAGACGGCTGGACTTGATCAAAACATTAAATTAAAAAAAACAAACAACTGTTTCTAATATGACAGCATCTCTATTCTTGATTTAGAATCAACTGCAAACCAGCCTCTGATAGTCAACAGAAACTAGACAGTCACCAGCACATTCGTGTCTTATCAAAAGCGGCTTCTCATCATCCTGATAATTCTGGGTCTGAGGGGTAGAGGAGAGAGAAGTGCACAAGCCATCTTGGGGAGTCTTGGGTCCCACCCAAAGCGGTCCATGAATCAAGAAAGAGTTACCAGGGCCCAGAACCCGCTCTCTCTTCCCAGAGATCGGGCCTTTGTCCGAGAGGCTCCAACTTTTTCGGAGGATTTATTTTTTACCATGGAAAGAAAAAGTTAGAGCACAGAGGGCTATTCGCATTAAACTAAAGGCCAAAAATATAAGATGAATCGAGTTTTCCTGAAATATTAAGGACAGCTCCCTGAATTATTCATCTCGGAATATTACTGAGCCTCCGGTTTGCCTGGAGACATTCCAGCCCTGATACTAAAATGGTCTGCCTTGACGAGAGACCCCAAGACAGTCACCTTCAGAGTTTTCTGGAGGACTCCAACAGGCGACCCAGGGTGAATTCCCAAAGCGCAACAGAAAAGGCTCCACACAAGATTCCAAACTCAGTTCAAGCCAACCACCATTTGCTAAGCACCTACTGTGAACAATAAGGCAACGATGTCCCCGGATAATAAAGAACAAGACCCAACCAACCTCGAGCGAGGAAGAAGTAAACCTGTGCTGCATCACATCCCCAGCACCCCCTGCAGCGTCTTGCACACAATAGCCTAATAAACGCTAACTGAGTTAGGGTCTAGACAGCAGAATTTAGGGTGCTGAACCTGCCTCCCTCCACAAAGCGGAGCAGTAAGGTACACTCTTCAGGGCCGGGCTAGACTTTTTCCTCGTGAAATACCCTTGCCCCAATGCATCGCCATCCCTGCAGAGTAGCTTGAGAATTAAAGAGATAAAAAACTTGGGAGAATGGAACAGACTGTTCCACCACAGGTGTCTTAGCTGTGGGATCTCTTCCTTGTGGACAATACCTTCAACAGCGTAGGCCACTACCCCTCCATGCCTGCTCACACACACCATGGGGGTGTTGACTGTGTCATAGAATCAAGGACTGAGAGCTGAAGATTCCCGAGAGACTGCTGAATCCAGCTGCCTTATTTGCCAGAGGATGCCTTCCCCTAACTCTCCCACATGCCAGAGGCCTTCTCCAGGACTCTTGGCGTTATGTGGGTGCACCAGAGCGGCTCTTGGCCTGTTACCTAACTGACCCACTCCTTTTCCTGGCACTGCACCTCTCTGATGTTATCTTTTCCTGCTCCTTTCCGTTGGCGATTTGGCATTGGTCATAATAATGGCAAAAGTAAATGATGGCTAGCATTTCTATAGTACTTTAACTCATATTATCCTCACAACTACCCAGAGAGGTAGATGCTATTATTATCCCCATCCTATACATGAGGAAACAGAGACTGAAAGCACTGAGGTGACTTGTCCAAGGTGACACAGCTGGTAAGTGGGACCCTGTCCACTGCATCACTTAGCCACAGTCTATTTATTCCCACCATACAGCGCCAACTGGGTGACCTTGAGTAACTCAACCTTCCTGGGACTTAGTTTCCTCGTCAGTAAAATGAAAGGACCAGACTACATTCAAAGGCCTCTAAGGTTATTTCAAGGCTTGGAATCAAGATTCTGTGACCATCCATGGCCCTCTGGGTGTCCTGCCAAGACAATGGGGTGTTCCATTCTCTTACATTAAATATTTGGAACTTTATAATCTCTCAGTGGTTAATGGATTACTGAGCAGAAATAATTAGCTCGACCCTGGACGTGCTTAAGATGACCAAGTAGTTACGTGTTGCGGTTGGCCTTGGCTGTGTCTATACAACTACAGGGTGGCTTAATAGTTCCCTTCATACCAAACCAGAGCTCTTTAGAAATTTCCATATGGAAATAAAAATGGCCCCCAAATGGCAGTGACTAAGTAATCTGAATTACAGACTAGATTTTATCTTGCAAAGACCACACACTCTCCAAGGAAATGAAACTATACAAGCTCCAAAGGGTGGTGAAGCCACAAAGGCAGATATCAGTCGGCTCCTGTTTCCAATGAGGACCTCTACACAAGAAGCAGTGTGCAGAGCATCCTGGAGGAAATGAATGACTGGTCAATAGTGGGAGCTAATGTTAGCTAGTATTTATGGGCCACTTTGGGGCTTGCAGAGTGCTTTCCAAATATTTTCTCACTTTAAGGTCATAAGGGGATGGGCTGGTCACATAGCCAGAGCCTCAGCTAAATGACGTGTCCATCACAATGGGTAACCACTAGCAACCACAAAACGAGGGAATACCTGGGGGAAGAGCCCCTGCTTCTCCTCCCAGCCTAATGAATAGATGCTGTGTGGAGACCCTTTTGATGAAACTTGAGGAGAAGGTGGGGATGGGGTACAACGTGCAGTAGCAGAGGAAATACCCACGTTGATGAGCTCGCAGATCTGATTAAGTGTTGAAGGAACTTAAATTCAGTCTATTATATTAAAGCCCATAGTTGCAAATAGACAGCATAATAATAAACTTATGTGATAATAATATGATAATAAATATAGCTTTAATAATAATAATTTTATAGTAAATATAGAAACAGTCTAAATATTATCTTTTTCCTTGAAAACTATTTTCTTTCCCTAATCGGAAACTAATTAGGCTTACGGAGGGGAAAGGAATAACAGAAGTAAAAAGAAACTCTAACTGAAAGAATGAAATCCATCTTTAATCCAACTTGAGAAAGTGTCTTACCCATCCCACCAGGATAGGGCCAACATGCTCAGTAGATCCGTCCGTCTTCCTGACTTCTCGAAGCTGACTAAGAAGATCTAGAGTTGAGGAAAGAGAAAGGAAAATTTCTGTTACACATCCCCCCGGCACAGACGCAGATGGGATGGTCTTGTCTACTCGCATTATCATATCACCAACTATGGACTGGTTCTAACACTACTTCATTAGGTCTACACGTCCTGACTCATCCAGAGAATCAAACCTCACCTTCGTGCAGAGGGATTAGAGAGTCCAGGGTTCCAAAAATCTGGTTTAATTCTTGCTCTGTCATTATGGAGAGTTTAAGCATGGGGTCATGATAGGCCTGTGAGAGCAAGGTGAGAGAGAGAATGATACAATTAAAATCCAGGGAAACACGTTTATTGAAAAAGTCATATTAAACATTTTTTTTTTTGAGGTCAAGATGTACTCAGCTAATGAAACATCCCAGAGACAAGTGAAAAGTTAGACAACAATAAAGGACTGAAAGGGTGGCTGAAGGTCATGACAGAAGCGATGTCACACTCAGTTGAAGACGTGAGTCATTCATGGCTCCGTGAACCAGACATATGATCACTGCGACAAGGAGCAGAAGAGGGGGGCTTCCCTGGTAAGCGGGGAAGGCTGGAAAGGAGGAGTGGTTAGAGATAAGGATATGGTGCAGTGAGGCCCCAACCCTGTTCAGGGAGAGGCTGGGGAGCTTGCAAGGTTCTTTTATTTTTTATTTTATTTTATTTTTTTAACAGGTCTAAAATATATACATAATTATCTATCATATGAAGAAACACAGGTGCATAAACCATACTGGTAATCTAACATCTAATCATACAAGGTTGTAGTTACACTGAAGGGGGCTATAGGATCACCATAAATATGAGGATTGAAACCAAAGTTACTTTTACAATCTCCAAAGGCTGTGAGGAAAATTTGCATTTATTTTTGGCTATTCTTTTTCTTTTCTTTTTTTTTTTTTTGGCAAGGCAATTGGAGTTAAGTGACTTGCCCAGGGTCACACAGCTAGTAAGTGTCAAGTGTCTGAGGCCAGATTTGAATTCAGGTCCTGTGCTCTATCCACTGTGCCACCCAGCTGTCCAAGGGGTTCTTTTAGAATTGACCTCCATGAGGGGCAGCTAGGTGGTGCAGTGGATAGAGCTCTGGCCTTGGAGTCAGGAGGACCCAAATTCAAATCTGGCCTCAGATACTTGACACTTCCTAGCTGCGTGACCCTGGGCAAGTCACTCAGCCTCAACTGCCTCATCAAAAAGCAAAAAAATAAAAAATAAAAAATAGAATTGACCTCCATGGACTCTTCTAGAAGGCTCCATGAGAGGCACTTGATGGTGGAGGGCACTGAATGCCAAGATAAGAAGTCTGAGCTTTATTCTGCAGGCCATGGGGACTTACTGAAGGGGAGGATGGGAAGTGACGGCCAAACGGTGCTTGGGGAAGATGAGCCCAATTATCCCAACTTGTAGGATGGATAAGGAGGAGACTCAGGTGGCAGGAATCTCAGTTAAGAGGAGGCTGTAACCGTAGTCCAGGGATGAGGTGACAAGGGATCAACTATGTCGGACCAGAGGTCCCCTAGTCCAACCCCTTTGGGGGAGGAAACTGAGCCCCAGAGAGGAAAGGTGACCGCCCAAGGCCATGGAAATAGTCGTCAGCGGCCAAGGCAGAATTTGAACTCGGGTCTTCTGCTCTTTCCATTTCCACTTAATTAGAGTGGGAATGGGAAGGAAGGAGGATGAGAGTTATCTTTTGAAGGAAGAATCTACCCATCCACTATCCATCTAGTTATCCACCATCCATCCATCCACGTACTATCATCTATCCAGTCATCCATCCATTCACTATCCGCTACCTATTCTTTCTACTCATTTTTTTTACCTATCCATTCATACACTCATCCATCTTTCTATGATTCATCCATCCACTCATTTCATCTGTCTCTCTCTCCATCTCTCCATCTTCTGTGCCCTGTACAGTCTTGGGCTACACGCCAGATCCTCATACAGCTGTGGAATTAAACCGCATCTCCCTCTGGCCCCTGCTGGAGACACGGCACCAGAGAAGCCGTTCTCCTGGGGGTCTGGCATGGAGCGTCCCCTCTGAGCTCCTCCCACAAGGCCGTGGTGTCAGCCCCAGGGCCTCCACTCTTTGGGTGCCGGTCCTAGTCATAATGCGCTCTCACCTCCGTCTTGGCACACAGATCCGTTTAGAAGTAAGAAAAAAAATGAGTCAGCGTGAAAACTGCCAAGAGATGTCAACTTTTTATTTAAGTACCTTTTTTGCTAATTTCAAGTCCTCTATCAAGTCCTCTTCTCCTTGGGAAAGCTCAAATATTGCCTGAAAGAGAAATAAAAGCCATTAGATGCTACTTTGATTTAATCTCTCTTAGGAAATCCAACTGCCTGGACCGGAGTCAGGCTCGATTCCAAATCAAGTGCCTGATTCTGCCTCTGGGCATCTTCCCTGGCCAGTCCCCGGGCAAGGAATCTCTCCCTCCTCATCTCTGCCTCCCGGATTCTCTGCCTCTTTCTAAGCCCTGCTGAAATCCCCCTCCTACAGAAGCCTCCCCCAACCCCTCTTAAGGCCAGCACCTTCTCCCACCAGACTGTGGATTCACTGAGGGCAGGGACTGTCTTTTAGACTTTCTCTGTATTCCCAACACTTAGAGGCACATAGTAGGCACTGAATAAATGCTTGCTGGCTTGAGAGAGAGAGACAGTGTGTGTGTGTGTGTGTGTGTGTGTGTGTGTGTGTGT